TCTCTCTCTCTCCCTCTCTCTCTCTCTCTCTCTCTCTCTCTCTCTCTCTCATGTGCCAGGTACTAACCCGTGAAGATGGCGCTGTGCTGCAGGTACCTTGAAGACAAAGCTGGAGCTATGGCGCTGCAGGTAAGTCTCCCTGGCCTCCGCCCAATCTCTCTCTCTCTCTCTCCAGTGCTACTCTAGCTCCTACTAGCGCCCAGCGCTGAAGGCTACTGCTAACGCTACTACTACTACTGCAGCGCTCCTTCAGAGTGCTGCTGCCGAATCCTGAAGACTACCTCCTGCCTCCTGAACTGCACATGACGTGCCTGGGAAGTCCCTATGAACTACCTGCAGCCTGCAGGGCGGGCCAGTCTTATATAATGCTGGCCCGCCCAGGAGGCTGCTCTTGCCAATGCCAAAACGTGCCAGACCCTGGCGTTGAAGCTCAAACAAAGATTGTCTTGAAAACAGGCCCAAAATGGCCTGTGCTAAAACCCTGGTCTGGTGCCTGAGTTTCAGGGCAGGTCAATCTTATGAGGGCCTGAAAATGGCCCTCCGTTTCAGGCTGAAAAGACTAAAGGCCTGGAGGGCCCTGTCTTAGGCTGAAACGACACAGGGCCTGTAGGCCCTTGTTCTCAGGCTTTCAGGCTGAAACGACACAGGGCCTGTAGACCCTTGTTTTCAGGCTTTTAGGCTGAAAACAACACAGGGCCTGAAAATGACCCTCGTTTCAGGCGCAGCATGTAACACCCCCCCCCTCCTTATGAAGTCAAGCCAGGTCGGCCGAAGATGACGATCTGAAGGTGGAACCTGGACGCGGGTGCGGTGTGGAGCCGAAGATACCGGCTTGCCTTGCATCTTGTGTTCGTAATGTGCGAGAACATCTGGAGCTGTTGCTTGGAGTTCCGCACGGGTCAACCAACGGTTGGCTTTGTGTACCAAGTATTCGGTCGGCCTGTTGCCGTAGCGTCGCTGGGAGATGATGTCGCCGACCTCTTGAAAACCGTCCATAGAGGGTGGGTGGGTCTTGCGATCGTCGCCAGAGAAAATCGTCGTGTTCCGTTGGCGTATAAAGAGCCAACTTGGAGCAATGAAAGACCGTGTAGACGGGCAAGTGGGCAGGCACCTGAATGATGAAAGAAGGTCCTTCGGGTGCATCCCCAGCGGGTGCCACGATCGGCCAGGGTCCCATCCATTTCGGGAGGAGCTTTGCGAGAGATATCTTGTTCGAGGCTGAACTCCACGGCGGAAACCCAAACAAAATCGCCGACGCGGAATGAACAAGGAAGACGCTGGTGATTGGCCTGTTGGCTCATGCGTTGCTGCGTCTTAGCCATCTGGTCTCGTGCCTTGACAAGTAGCTCTTGCATCCGACGCAAGAAAATAAGATGGTCGTCACTCTCGGCCGCTCGTGGAATGATTGTGTCCAACGGAGAAGTGACCGGCGAGTCGTGCTCGAACTCGAAGGGCAACATCCCGATAGCCGGGTGGATGGACGAGTTGTATGCCAACTCCATATCCGGCAGCTGGTCAACCCAATCCTTGTGGTCTGAATGGATGAGAGTGCGAAGGAGAACCTGTGCGGGCTGATGCCCTCTCCGTTTGGCCATCGGTTTGGGGGTGGCGAGCCGAACTTGGCTTGAGAGATGAGCCCCATTGTTTGATGAGCGCCCACCAAAAATCGGACATTAACCGAGTGTCGCGGTCGCAGACGATTTCCTTGGGGTAACCCTTGGTTCGAATCCAACCGGCGTAAAGAACCTCAGCCAACTCCGGTGCCTTGGCATGATAGCGGCAAGGCAAAAACATGGCGAACTTGGTGAGTCGGTCGACCACCGTGAGAATCCCATCCACACTGGTCTTGTGCTTGGGGAACGACCTAGTAATGTCCATGGCAATCGCTTCCCTTCGGCACAAGGGGACCGGTAATGGTCGCAGCTCGCCGTACGGACGATGGTTGCCGGATTTGCAGCGTCGGCAAACCTCGCATGACTCGCAATGGCGTGTGACGTCGCCGAGAAGGCCGAGCCACCAAAATCGCTCGCGAAGTCAGTCAATTGTGCAATTGACTCCAAAGTGTCCGGTGGCAGGAGCATCGTGGAACTCGCCAAGAAGCCGTGTACGCAAGTGAGAGTCACTCGGTACACAAAGAAGGTCCTTCCCCCGCATGTGGACAAGCAAGTACCCCTCTTGGATCCAGTAGTGAGAAGTTGTCGGATTAGGAGAGGAGCAATTCGCGTACTTGACGCGAAACTCGGGGTCGGCTTAGTAGCCGCGGATGAAGTTGTCTCGCAGGTCGTCGTCGATCTCGAAGGTCGAATAGACTGCGGTACAATGATCCGGACGCCGTGAAAGAGCATCCGCAAAACGGTTAGACTTCCCCGGAATGTGATCGGGAAAGAAGTCGAATTGGTCGATGAAAGTCATCCAACGGGCGATGGTGCTATTGACGGTGTCTTGGGTCTTGTAGAAGACCAACGGATTGTTGTCCTTTACCCATCGGAATTGACTTCTACCAAGGAGGAAGTGTCGCCACCGCTTGAGCGAATGGACGAAGGCTAGGAGCTCCTTCTTGCGTGCATCATCAATGGAGTGCACGACGGGCATTTTCTTGCCGAAGTACCCGACCGGGTGCCAATCCACGCCATCGTGTTGTTTGAGGACGACACCAATGCCATAGCTGGACGCATCCGTAGTGACGCGCGTTGGCAATAGCGGGTCGTATATGCGCAAGACCTCCGCAGATAATAGCGCAACTTTGAGAGCTGAAAATGATTCCCGCGCATCCTCTCCGAAGTCAAACGGCCGATCCTCGCATTGAAGCTTGTCAAGTGGGCCGAGATCTTCGAGTATCCCTTGATAAAACGTTGGTAGTAGCCGGCAAGGCCAAGGAAGGAACGGACATCCGTAACGTTCCGCGGCTCCGGCCACTCTTGGATGGCTTGCATCTTGTCCGACAACGGACTRATGCCCTCCGGTGTGACAAAATGACCCAAGTATTTCAGCTCTTGCCGGACAAATTCACACTTGTCGTGGTTGGCTTTGTACTTGGTGCGGCGGAGCGTCTCCAACACTCGTCGAAGGTGCTCAAGATGATCCTCCAATGTTTGAGAATGTCGTTTAAGGAGACTAGCACGAACTGGTACAACATCGCACATAACTCGTTGGTCATTGCCGCTTGAAAGGTCGCCGGGGTGTTGGTGAGGCCAAAAGGCATGACCACCCACTCAAAATGCCCATACCATGTCTTGAACGCGGATTTCTAGCGATCGTTCGGCCGGATCGAAATCTGATGATATCCCGACTTCAATTCCAACTTAGAAAAGTACTTTGCGTCACCCATTCGCTCAAGGAGATCGTCAATACGAGGAAGAGGCCACGCATTCTTGACGGTTTGCTAGTTGAGCTTGCGGTAGTCGATGCACAATCGTAGATCCTTCTTCTTCTTCTGTACGAAGAGAACTGCCGCTCCATATGGGGAGCTACTAGGGCGGATCCAACCCTTGTCCAACAAGTCATCGAGTTGCACGCGGAGGACCGTAAGCTCCTCCTCGCTCATGCGGTAAATGCAGCCTTTTGGCGGCACGGTACCGGCCTCAAGAATGATCTCGTGAGAGATCGGTCGATCCGACACCACATCGGTAGGTGACTCGAAGATGTCGGTGAACTCGTCAAGCAACCGCACCACACGGGGGTCCGAAGACAAGTCCGTGGGGGAAGAATCGGTTACCGCGACGGTCTGTAGGAAGTATAGGCCTATTTCGTCGGGTTGCTCGTAAGCGCAAGTAGCCCGGAATGACTTGGCCGTCACCACTTGGCACCGAATCGAAGGGTGCGGAAGAGGAATAGTACACGACACTTCGGCGCCGAAGGCGTCCCGAACGGTAAGAGTCCGCTGGAGGAAGTTGACTGTGGGATCCACACTTGCAAGCCAAGGCATTCCCAAAATAATGTTGAACTCTGTGTCCAAAATGTCGAACGTCACCGGTTCGCATGCATGAGGTGCGAAATACACCGGTACGGTCTCGATGTAGTGGTCGATAAGTTGCTGTGTCCTTCCGTCCGCCAACTTGATCGCCGTCGGGTTTGCCTTCCTCCAAACTTGTGCGCCAAGGCCAACCCTTTGCATAAAGGCTTGACTCATGAAATTGCGAGTCGCGCCGCTATCCAGCAAAGTGTTGCACGACGCTTGCCCAACTTGGATGCGGACATAGAGGAGCGGTGCGTTGTTGTCATCGTGCCGCTGCTTGCGAAACTCGCGGGCCACCTTGGTAACATACGCAAGGATGTCCCCCACCGCAGCTTCGTCATCCGTCGACGAAGTTAGTGGTGCATAGAAGGATAGATACGTGTGAAGATGAGCGCATAATGCTACGCATTACGGTCCCGGCAAGCGGCCCGTGGTCGGGAGAGGAAGTCATGCGAAATCCTCTGACGTGAGCGGGTCCAAGACCTCTATGTTGAACTCGCGCGCCGAATCCCGTGAAGAACCACTTGAAGACGATAAGTCGCCGCGGCCGGACAGAGAAGATGCCGCACAGACGTCTTGTCCTTGAGCATGAGTACCCAGCGTAGGAACGAGCTGGGCAGCATAGTCCTCATAAGAATATAGAAGAGGAGGACTATCGACTTCCGCATGTGCCTCATAACGAAGGGCGGTCACCCGCGAAGCGATCGGTTCCGAAGGCGTCGAGAGTGTCGTCGATTCACTCCCGGCGGTGCTCAGTTTCCCGACTTGCCCTTGCCTTTCGACGGGCAGCCCATTGTGTCGTGGAGATCACTGTTGCACCACAGACAATAGCGGAATCTCGTGCGTATCTTGTACGCACGTTCGGAGAGACCGTAGTGGGATTATGGGGCTGGAGTGCCGGGCCCGGGAATAGATGTGGTGTTTGTGTTCGTCTTGCCGCATCCTCAGCCTTTGCCGGAGCGGCCACCATCCCGGGCGGCTGCGAGTCTGTCCCCTTCATTGGCAGACATTGCCTCGCTAGAAGGGTCGGTTGGCGTTGCCGCCGCGACCACGACCACTTTCGGTCGATACTGATCTCTGCTCGGGCCTGCGGCAAACGAACGGTTGAGGTTCTTAGCCTCCTTGTTCGTGACAATGATCTGCGCGGTCTTGTTGAAGAGGTCTGCCGTTGTCGTCAGGGTGTCCTTGACGTGAGTCATAAGGTTGCCCAACGCCGGACACGAGCTCGAGATGAAGTAGTGTTTGACGGCCTTGAAGCCCATCTGAATGTCTGGGACGGATGTCAAGCGTTGGTACTCGGCAATCCAGTCAACACTCGGCAACGTGCCTTGTTCGATGGTCATCAATTTGTCCATTGCCTTGATCTCTGACGGCTCTACTTGGAACCGCTTATGCCATGCCGCCTTTAGATCATCCAAGCTGATTTTGGTGTATAAGTCGGCAACTACCACCCCGTACCTGGACAAGAGATTGTCCAACCATGCTTGGCACACCCCCCCCGACCGGGAGTATAAGTACGCATGATACTTGTCCTCGCAGACATGGTGTAGCTGCAACTTGAGCTCGAACTTGCGGAACCATGGAATCGGGTCCGTCTTCGTTGAATCGCAGAAGATCTCCTGATCATCGAACTTTGGAGTCGTCTCGCGCGGTGCCGAACTCGGTGTGGCGGTGGCAGCATAGATCCACTGCTCCAGTTGTTCCATAACGGTTTGATGTAGCTGGGCGTCGTCAGTGAGGGTTCCGACGCCGATCTCCAATGCATTGAGGTGATCGGAGATGTTGGAGGAGTTGGCATCGGGGGCGGCGACGGGTCGTTGCTCCAGCTGCTAGAGGCGGCTGTTGACTTGATCAAATGCCTGGTTATGCGTCTGAACCGCGTCGTCGAGGCTGTGGATGTCTGTGCAATGCACGTTGCCAGGAGATCCGTGAAACGGGAGAGGAGTAGAGATATCTTGCTTTCACTCTCTTCCATCTTACCATTCTCGGCCTCGGCCCGCCAGTCCGCTGCCATTGTGAGCAAGGCTCGCTCTCCGTTGAATATCTTCTCGCGTTGTTGATTTCGTTCTTCATCGGCAGCCCTTGCTGCTGCCTCGTCTTGCTGGCGCTGCAGTTCGATTGCCAACAGACGTGCCTTCTCAGCGTCCTCTGCCTTCTTTTTCTCTGCGGCTGCTACCTCATCCGCCCGTTTCTTGGCTTCGGTAATCAAAGCCAGCATCCAGGCCTGATAGGCCTCGGCCGTTTCCTCGGACTTCTGATCTCTGCCAGCTGTTTGTAAGCGTGTGAGCATTGACCAGGCTGGACTGCTGACATGGCACTCCCTGCTGCTGACGTGGCACTGCTCGCCTGCTTACATGGCGCGACTGTCGGCTGATGTGTCCTGCTGACATGGCCTGCTGACGTGGTCTGCCGACGTGGCCTGCTGATGTGACCTGCTGATGTGGTCTGCTGACGTGGCCTGCTGACGTGGCCTGTTGACGTGGCCTGCTGACGTGGCCTGCTGATGTGGCGAGAGAAAGAAAAAAAATACTCGTTTGCAAGTTCAGTAGGCCTCCCAATTCCCCCTGAAGTGCGAAATTACTAATGAGGAAAAAATTTCAAACTTTCAGACTGCAAATGATTATCCGATAAAAGAATTCCGAAAATAAAATACAAAAAATATTTGGAATTACTTAGATGAGAGTACACGCAATTTGGAAAATGATAACTGCAAGAGGGATTTCCCGTACCGTTTTCAAATCTTGAAAAACGAATTCCGGAAATTAAAAAAATATTGCAATAACCCATGCCATATGTCTCGTAGAAATCTGAGGGCCGACCTGGCCGTCCTCAGCTAGGCCAAAAACGAGGTAAGGGACCCCACACAGGGATTCAGGGTCTGGGCGCGCCACAATTGACTTTATCAACTGTGGCGACCCCAACAGTCAAAGTCCAGAGGTACCTAGTCCAGGCCACCGGTCAAGCACACACACTTGTTTGTATGCAGGTACCCAGACAACATCAAGTCCAAGGGGGAATTCTACAACTGTACAATCCAGGCCTTCGGTTGTGACTCAATCTGGACGACTGAGGGGAGGAGACTCGAGGCCAGAGAGCCTCGTCAAACACTACTTAAAGTTTGACCTCGAGGTGGTCAGCATTCAGTCTTGCTATGCTGGTTCAACGCTGGCTTGACTTTGACTTGACGCTGGCATTATGCTAGCGCGACGCTGGCTAGACACTGGTTGTGCATCAAAGCTGCGGACGACGACACGAGGGAGAGGCAGCACGCTAGCATTGTACGCCAAGCATGCTGACGAGGCGCTGCCTCTGGTATATGAGGCGTTGCCTATGGTCTACGTGGCATGCTGACGTGGCGCTGCCTCTGGTATATGTGGCGCTGCCTATGGTCTACGTGGTTTGCTGATGTGGCGCTGCCTCTAGTATATGTGGCGCTGCTTCTAGTCTATGTGGCGCTGCTATTGGTCTTCATTGATGATGTGGCATCGCCACCTGTCTTATTTATGACGTGGCATTGTCCACGCTGTCTACATGAGGTGATTGGTTGCGAGGAAGAGGAAGATCAGGACTGTGGAGAGATCGTGAATACGTACCTGGTTGTCTTCATATTGACATTGCTCCAGTGTTGATGAGGGACTAATTAGACGTGCCACGTGGCACATTGAAGTTACTTCATATACTCGTTCAGACTGTTGATTATTGAAATGGTGTTGGAGGAGGGAGCCCGAAGCAGGAGTGGGCATTGTATTTATTTTCTCTCCTTTGTCTAATCTCCCTCCTCTCTACTTCGTCTGTGTATGATTATCTCGTCTCATTCTGTCTGGACATGATCTTGATTATTAGTAATCATCAGCTGTTGACATTCATCTGGATTTGCATTGTTGATAACTGTCTTCACGATATGGGTTCATTGCAATTTGGCATCAGAGCAACTCTTCATCGCGATCTGCTGTCAGTTGTCAGGTGTTGACGTGGCACCCAAGTAAGTGGGAGGTGCCGTATGTGCAATATGAAACGCGTTTATTAATGCGCGCGGTCATACCGCAAGTCTAGACATGGTAATTGTGCACTTGCGAGCAACCGTCCCTTGAAGATGATGACAAGGCTGCGTTGGCAACAGGCTGACGTGGCGCTGGTACCGTTGATGTGGCACATTGCTAGGTGGCAGGCAGGGCATGGTCTGACGTGGCATGTACCTGTTATTGTTTGCTAGTGATGTGCTGACTTGGTATATTGGTGGAAGACAGACCTGCGTTGTGACGTGGGTCGGGTCCTTGATTGCTGACGTGGCAAACTCTTTGAGTTGCTGAGTTGGCAGGCCAGGGGTGACACGTGGCATGCGTAAGGGCTGTTTGTAGTGTGAATGTGCACTTGAGCTGGATTGCTGCTGCATATGATTGAGAAGAGAACTAACCATTGATTGTGTTATGTTGTGGTTATACTCACCTGTTGGTTGTCTGTGGATGTTGTGCATACTTACTCTTGTGCTGTTGTCTTGATCACACTGGTCGTGGCTGCGGTACCTGTAGTTGTAGAGTGTCATCACAAAGAATAGACAGCAAAGTTAGAACTCAGGAAGGATTTGGACACTTGTTTCTTCTGATAGTTTCTTGCTGCAAGTTGTTGTAGAAGACGCGTGTACTACGAAATTTATTTCCGTCTTTTAATTTTATTTATTGTGCAGTAAATACACGCGGGCAAAATGAACTCTCTCTGGAAATGTCTGCGTGCTTCCATCCTGACACGGTTCATTCCACTTTTCTTCTTTCCTATCCCTCTAATGGTATATGCTGATGAAGAAGTAGGGGATCTCAAGACGCGTGGACAAATTGATGCAAGGAGGGAGACTTTGATCGGCCTCCTTCACCAGCTCCTTGGTGAAATACATGGTGTCGGACCAGCAGCTGAACAGTATGTTCACGGACAGTTCAACCTGCGAGCACTGCGAGCAGCAGAGGGTGAACTTGAGGCCGCAAAAACTAATGTTCAGATGCTGGAAACCGGCGGGGAGTCGAGGAACTCATTCGACAAGGGCGTATGGCTCTTGATCGGTATGTCGCCGAGCAGTTGGAAGAATTGAGCCGGAAAGGAAAGCAAGAAGAAAAGAGAGGAAAAGAAAGTGGAACCACAACTGTTTGTGGAACTAATGGAAGAAAATGTCAGACAGTTAGAGAATACTTTGAGAGAAGAAAGAAGAAAAATTGAAAAATTCAGAAGAAAGAAAGAAGAGAGAGAACAGCAAGAAAAGATGCTGGAAAAATGAGGGAGCGGTTTCACTTCAAGGAAGTTGAGACTGACCTGTCGTCCGTACTGCAATCTATCATGGCTTACCTTGTTCATCTTGAAAGAAAGATAGACTCTAACACTGTCTCATTGGAGACCATGATGAGAATGATGAAAGGAAAGGACAAGGTGAGTTTTGAGGAGGAGAAGAAGGGGGAAGTAGAAAAGAAACCACCCCAGGAGAAACTCATGAAAGATGCAATGGGGTAGGAGGACAAACCCGGACCCTCGAAGAAGGAGTCCGAGGAACCGACAGGAAAGAGAGAAGAACCAGTAGACAAGAAAGAAGAACCGGCTAAGAAAGAAGAACAGGTTAAGGAAGCGAAAAAAACAAAGAAGAAAGAAAAGGTGAAAATGCAATTGTCGTTCACGTATCGTGTTAAGTGTTACTTCAGGACCAAGGAAGGTAAAAAGATTCTACACGAGGTAAGAATTTACCCTTTGACTTAATTCTGGGTATGGATTGGCATGAGGAAGCCGACCCAGAAGTTAAGTTCAAAGATAAAATTGTCAAACTCAAGGACGAGAAGTCCGAATTACGTGCGATAAAGTTATACCATAAATCTGGCACTGACTTTACTCTATCTTTCTGTTCTATGAGTTATCCAACTTTTCGATCGATGGTTGCTAAGAAGAAGTTAGATCAGGAGGTGATGATGGTGCTTGTTAAACAAGTAGATGAGTGTTCTTCATCCTACACACCTTCTATTGAAAAACTTCTTGACGAGTATAAGGACTTGCAGACTGAGCCGACGGGAATCACTGAGCGTGCTATCAAGCACACGATTGAGATCGTTCCCGGAAGCAAGATTCTCAAGGGTCCCATTTACCGAATGTCTCCTAGGAAATTTGAGGAACTGCGAAAGCAGCTGCAGGAACTTACTGATAAAGGATGGATTCGCCCTGGCTCATCTCCTTATGGTGCACATGTCTTATTCGTGCCTAAAAAGGAAGATGAATTCGCTTATGTATTGATTATCGCGGACTGAATTCCGTCATTGTTAAAAACGCGGAACCTCTTCCGCGCATTGACGATCTGTTGGATCAGTTGCAGGGATGTAGATATTTTAGTAAGATTGATCTCAAGTCAGGGTATCACCAGATAGAGGTGGCACCTGAGGATCAACACAAGACAACTTTCCGAACTAGGTATGGACACTACGAGTTCGTGGTTATGCCTTTCGGTCTGACCAATGCACCTGCGACCTTCCAAAGGTCAATGAATGAGTTATCTCGTAAGTGGCTTGACCAATTCGTAATAGTCTATCTCGACGATATTCTAGTGTATAGCAAAGCACTAGAAGATCATGAAAAACACTTGCGAATGGTCTTGCAGAAGTTGCGCGAGGGCAACTTCAAATTGAATCCGAAGAAGTCTGAGTTTGCTAAGCCTGAAGTTTTGTACCTAGGGCATATAGTAAACGAAGAAGGACTAAAGCATAAAGAAAAGAAGATTACAGCAATCAGAGATTGGCCACAACCCTAGATTGTAAGTGAATTAAGATTTTTCTTAGGACTTGCTAGCTACTACAGGAAGTTCGTCAGAAACTTTTCCCTGATAGCTGCTCGTATGAAAAGATTATTGAAAAAGGAAAAACCTTGGTTGTGGGACAAAGATTGTGAGTCATCGTTTAGGAAGTTAAAACATACTTTGACTCACTACCCTGTCCTAAAGATTGTTGACCCTTATCTTCCTTTCATTGTCACGACTAACGCCAGTCAGTATGGGATCTGGGCTGTGCTACAACAGGATGACGGTAAAGGATATAGACCTGTTGAATTTATGTCAAGAAAACTTCCGTCAGAAAAAGTAGCCAACTCGACGTATGAAAGGGAATTGTATGCCTTAGTAGTTGCACTAGATACCTGGAAACACTACTTGTTAGGAAGGCATTTCAGTGTCTACTCTGACCACTCTACATTGAAGTGGATCAAGACTCAGCCTAGACGCTCTGACAAGTTGGTAAGGTGGTCCGCATTCCTAGATACATTTGACTTTGAGGTGAAAACCATCAAAGGTAAATCTAACATGGTTGCGGATGCTTTGTCCAGGCGTGCAGATTTCTTTGGAACTATTGTCTCTTATCTCGATATTGGAAATGACTTGAAAGACCAGCTCCGCGAGGGTTATGGAAATGATCCTATTTGGAGTCCTATCATCAGAACTCTAAGAAAGAACCCTGAATTATTTCCAAAATATCTAATGACCGATGGCTTACTCTTCTTGCTAGATAAAACCGAAGAACGATTGTGTATTCCTCACCTAGAACCAATTAAGAGTTTGATTATTGGGAATGCCATGATGCGGAAGGTCACTTCGGTTTCAAGAAGACATATGCCGATGTAAGAGAACGTTTCGAGTTGAAAGGAATGAAGGAAGATGTACTAACGTATGTGCGGACTTGTCTTGTCTGTCAAAGGAACAAACCCTCACATGAGAATCCAATGTGACTACTGAGACCGCTGCCTATTCCAAGTGAGTCAGGTGAGTCTATCTCCATTGACTTTATGAGTCTCACGAAGAGTCGGAATGACAACAGTCAGGTGATGGTCATCGTGGATAGATTCTCAAAATATGCTATGTTCATTCCTTTGCCTGCTGAAGCTAGAACCGAACTTGTTATTCAAAAGTTTCAGATGCGATGGGTTTCAGAGTATGGATTTCCCAAAACTATTGTCTCTGATAGGGATGTTCGGTTCGCTACTCTGCAATGGCAGAAGTTGATGGAAGTCTATGGGACCAGGTTGACCATGTTATCAGGCAGACATCCTGAAACGAATGGTCAAACTAAGCAAATGAACCGTCTATGCCAACAACTTTTGCGAATATATGTCCGACCTGATCAAATAGATTGGGATGAGAACTTGCCCAAAATTGCTAGTGCTTACAATAACAGTATCCATACTGTCACAGGAAGAACTCCTAACTCACTACATAAGGGTTGGAAGTCTAGGCGTCCCATCGATGCGCTGACCAGAGACCAGATTTAGAGGCTACCCCCAGGTACGCGTGAGTTTGCAGTTCTGTATGAAGAAGACATCAAGAAAGTAAAGGAAAACATACAAAAGGCCCAATTACACATGATTGAGAAGGCTAACAAACATCGTCGACCTTCACAATTTCAATAAGGGGATTTTGTTAGGGTCAAGTCTAACAAGTTCTCCTTAGAAGAAAATGTGTCTCAGAAACTGCTACCTGCCTACTTTGGCCCCTGGGAAGTTCTAAAGGTGATTGGAGACGCAGACGGTCCATCCTATCGTATTGACATACCTCCGCACCTAAGGACGTACCCTGTCTTTCATGCGTCTAAACTGCTACCTTATGTAGAAAGTGACAACTTTCCTAATAGGCCATCCATGTCTCCACCATCTATGAATGGGAACTACGAAGTTGAGAAGATATTGGAACATGCCTATTTTTCTACAGGTGGCAGAGGACGACCTCAGAAGCAGTACAAGGTAAAGTTCAAATCCCAACCTCCATCTGAAGCTAGATGGCTTAGTAGGAAAGAACTTTTAACCAGTGCTCCTGACATTGTTGTTGCATATGAACGTGGGTTAGGATAGAAATTGTTGTATTTTCTGCGATGGAACTCGAAAACTGGGACGGCAGGAATGCAATAACCCATGCCATATGTCTCGTAGAAATCTGAGGGCCGACCTGGCCACCCTCAGCCAGGCCTAAGACGAGGTAAGGGACCCCACACAGGGATTCAGGGCCTGGGCGCGCCACAGTTGACTTTTGTCAACTGTCGCGACCCCAACAGTCGAAGTCCAAAGGTACCCAGTCCAGGCCACCAGTCAAGCACACACACTTGTTTGTATGCAGGTACCCAAACAACATCAAGTCCAAGGGGGAATTCTGCAACTGTACAATCCAGGCCTTCGACTGTGACTCAATCTGGACGACTGAGGGGAGGAGACTCGAGGCCAGAGAGCCTCACCAAACACTACTTAAAGTTTGACCTCGAGGTGGTCAACATTCAGTCTTGCTATGCTGGTTCAATGCTGGCTTGACTTTGACTTGACGCTGGCATTATGCTAGCGCGACGCTGGCTAGACGTTGGCTGTGCATCAGAGCTGCGGACGACAACACGAGGGAGAGGCAGCACACTGACATTGTACGCCAGACATGCTGACGTGGTGCTGCCTCTGGTATATGTGGCGCTGCCTATGGTCTATGTGGCATGCTGACATGGCGCTGCCTCTGGTATATGTGGCATTGCCAATGGCCTACGTGGCATGCTGACGTGACGCTGCCTCTGGTATATGTGGCGCTGCCTATGGTCTATGTGGTTTGCTGATGTGGCGCTGCCTCTGGTATATGTGGCGCTGCTTTTGGTCTATGTGGCGCTGCTATTGGTCTTCATTGATGATGTGGCATCGCCACCTGTCTTATTTATAACGTGGCATTGTCCACGCTGTCTACATGAGGTGACTGGTTGCGAGAAAGAGGAAGATCAGGACTGTGGAAAGATCGCGAATACGTACCTGGTTGTCTTCATGTTGACATTGCTCCAGTGCTGATGAGGGACTAATTAGATGTGCCACGTGGCACATTAAAGTTACTTCAGATACTCGTTCAGACTGTTGATTATTAAAATGGTGTTGGAGGAGGGAGCCCGAAGCGAGAGTAAGCATTGTATTTATTTCCTCTCCTTTGTCTTGCAATCAGACTCGTTCTCGTTCACACTTTTCATGCATGTAAACAGCAGCACAGCAAACTGGTGACATGCGGCCACTCAAAACTCAAAAGATATGGCTTCCAGATACGAGTTCACTTTCAATTGGCTATGGCTACTCAGCGCCCAAACAACTCACTGTTCACACACACTGGATCACCCTGGATATCCCACACACGTAACTCTGAACACTCGCACATACACACACACACTTCAACTAACTACAGCTATGGCAGCTATAGCTGCCTCTACCCTATCGCTATACTAAGCTCCTTCTCTCTCGCCCACTGCGTCCTCCGGGCTCACTGCAGACCTCCTTGCACAAGTCGCTGTGACAGCGCTTCCGCATGGCTCACGCAGGAATGAATGAAAGGCTGGGCGCTGCCTCTTGATTTATACTTCAGAAACTCGTTGGTCTGCCCTTTGCCATCGGCCCATGGTGCTCACAGTCCCCCGTGGTACTTGTTGGACCGGACTGGGACTGACTGGACCTTACCGCTGACTGACTATCCACTCACCTACCGAAGTCGTACTGCAGTTGCACTGCAATTTAGTCCACCACTTGACTCGCCACTTGACCACTTGCCCACTTGCCGACCTTCTAGAAGGACTACAGCTAGACTTCTGGAACTTGCTAAGACTTCTACTCTATAGATCTACAGATCGAACCCCTGCTGCCTATGGACCTATGACAGACCTACCAACTGTCTACAAATACACAGGTCACAGGTTCAACTCTCGGGGACTACATAGATACTGTACATGGGTAGGGTGAGGTCTAGGGATCGAGCCCTGGGATCTGCGTCTGTTACTGCAAAAAGGTAAAAACCGTTTCACTCCTGCCGTCCTAAATTCGAGGTCCTCCGATAATATTTCAGTCCAAGGGAGGACCTTTACCTTTCTTATTGCGCTCGTAGGCTCTGACTATGTCGGGAGCTGTCTCTAGAAGTTCTGTTCTTGTAAACCAGCGGTCGTCTTCCGGTTCCTGATAAGCAAATTGAACCTTATACTGTTTCTGGGGACGACCTCTACCTCCTGTTCTAAACACATCCTCATCTACAATGTCGTCAATGTCATAACTTCCATCCATATCCGGAGGGATCATGGATCTTCTTGAATGGAACACAGGGTATGTGTGGAGGTGTGCTTGGATCTCTATAGTGTAGGACTTTTTATCCTCTCCGCCCTTGACTTCTAGAACAGGCCACGATCCTCGGTATGCAGGCAACAACTTCTGTGAGATGTGCTCCTCAGGTGAGAACTCTTTAGATTTGACCCAGACTAAGTCGCCTACCTGAAACTGCGATGGGCGACGGTGCTTATTGGCCTGTTCTATGATTCTGTGCTGGGCGTTCCTGAGGTTCTCAACAACAGTTGCTAGTTCTTTCTCGTGCTGTACTGCAAACTCCCTGGTACCGGGCGGTAGCCTGTGAACCTGATCCCGGTTGAGTCCTTCAAATGGTCTGCGCGGCCTAAAGGGCTTGTGCAGCTCATTGGGAGTGCGACAGGTGGACAGATGTACGCTGTTGTTGTACGCACTAGCTACCTTGGGTAACATCTCATCCCAGTCAATCTGATCGGGTCTAATGTACATGCGCAAAACTTGTTGTAGGATCTTGTTCATCTGTTCAGTCTGACCGTTTGTCTCTGGATGGCGGCCAGACGACTTCAACAACTTAGATCCGTAGACTCTCATGAGTTCTTGCCAGTTCTGGCTGGTGAAACGACTATCTCTATCGCTATCTATCGACAACGGGATTCCATTCTCACTAACCCAAAAATCAAAGAACTTCCGTATAACTAAGTTTGTACGTGCCTCTGCAGGCAAGGGAACAAAAACTGCATACTTACTAAATCGGTCAACTATGACCATGACTTGGCTCTTACCATGTCGGCTCTTGATTTGGGTGTCCATGAAGTCTATGGACACTGAGTCTCCTGGCTGATCGGGAATAGGCAAGGGTTTGAGAAGACCTAGGGGCGCGCGTGTAGTAGTCTTATTCCTCTGGCACACTTTACAACTGCGGACATACTCTATACAGTCGTTCTTCATTCCTGGCCAGGTATACGCACGCATTAGATTGGCTAATGTCTTTTGCCAACCGAAATGTCCCTCAGTATCGTGGCATTCCCCTAGGATCAAACTGCGAACTTCTTCGCTGTTGGGAACGCACAGGCGGTCAAATACGTTAGTCTTCTCAAACAACAACCCATCTGTAGTGCGGTAATCTGGCTCAGTCTCTGGTGCCTCTCTAACTCTCTTTAGGAGGTCGCTATAGATAGGGTCCTGGGCATACGCTTGCTTCAGTTTCTCTTGCAGGTCTCTCCCTATATCCAGATAGTGTACTATGGCTCCAAAGTAGTCCGATCTCCTACTCAGAGCATCCGCAACTACGTTGTACTCGCCCTTCACTGGCTTAAGCTTAAAGTCATATTGGTCTATCTCTGCGGCCCACCTAGTCAGTTTAGGTGTCATCTTGGCCCGAGTCTTTACCCACCTAAGAGTCTCGTGGTCAGAATACACTTTGAAGTGCCTCCCAAGCAGGTAATGCTTCCAGTGGTCTAGAGCCTGCATGAGAGCGTAGAGTTCTCTCTCGTACGTCGAGGTAGCGACCTTCTCAGCGGGCATCCTCGCTGACATGAACTCTACGGGTCTATAGCCATTGCCGTCGTCTTGCTGCAACACGGCACCTATTCCATACTGATTTGCGTCTGTGGTGACGACAAATGGCAAAGACGGATCTGCTACTTTGAGGACAGGGTACTCTATTAGTGCGTGCTTCAATCTATTTAGCGCAGACGTACAATCTTTGTCCCATTGCCAGATTGCCTCTTTCTTAAGCAACCTGGGCAGGGGAGCGGCGATAGTAGAAAAGTTCCTCACGAACTTTCTATAGTAGTTAGCTAGGCCTAGGAACGACCGCAATTCTGTTAATGTGCGGGGCATCGGCCAGTCTCTAATCGCCGCTATCTTACTGTCCTCTGGCTTTATGCCATCTTACTTGTGTCTTGGCCCACTCGCACTTCTTCGCGTTGATCTTGAAGTTAACCTCTCGTAGCTTCTCCAAGACCTGCCTCAAATGACCCTGGTGCTCCTGGAGGGTCTTACTAAAAACTAGGATATCATCTAAATAAACTACTACAAACTTGTCTAACCATGGTATAAACAAATAATTCATGCAACGCTGAAAAGTGGTTGGCGCGTTGGTTAGTCCAAAGGGCATCACCATAAACTCATAGTGCCCATAACGAGTTCGGAACGCAGTTTTGTACTGGTCATCAGGATGGACTTCTATCTGATGGTATCCGGACTTCAAATCTATCTTAGAAAAATACTTGCAACCCTGCACCCGATCTAGGAGATCGTCTATTTTGGGCAGCGGCTCAGCATTCTTCACTGTGATAGCATTCAAACCCTATAGTCTATACACATCCTCAACTCTACTTCCTTCTTGGGGACAAACATAACTGGTGCTCCAAAAGGAGACGAACTGGGCCTGATCCAACCTTTCTCAAGGAGCTCGTCTAACTGCTTGTGAAGCTCCTCTAACTCTCTGGGGACATCCTGTAAATTGCACCCTTAGGAGTTCTACTGCCAGGCTCTATCTCTATCCTGTGCTAGATGGGTCGCGACACTACTCCTGTCGGCGACTCAGTCAAATCTTTGAACTCTTCCATCAGCTTGGCAATCGTTGGATCTGTGGAACTATCCTTTTCCTTGGCCTCAGTGACAGGTCTAACATAGACTACAAAGACCTGGTCCTCTAACTGCTCCTTTTTCACTAGTCGCGCGAACGCGGGAGCACTGAGACAGCAATGTGCCAAGGTGTTGTCTACTCCTGACACATGAAACAGACAGGCAATCTTTACCTCGCCTGACGGGCTAGGGAGCCTACACTCATGCTCTCTCAAATGGAGTGTGGCCCCTGCTGCCTTTCCCCAATCCATTCCCAATACTACGTCGAAAGGAAGGTCATCCTGTACGAGGAGAGTCAGGGAATGGAGAACTTTCTCCACCTTCCCATCCTTCTCTAGGCGAAAGTACGCCTGGACTCCCTCTACATAGTCCTCAACACGCATCGTGCGGTTGTCTGCGAGGACTTTTCTCCACCTTCCCATCCTTCTCTAGGCGAAAGTACGCCTGGACTCCCTCTACATAGTCCTCAACACGCATCGTGCGGTTGTGTGCGAGGACACCGACTATAGGGTCTGCTAACTTCTGGACTTTTAATCCTAGCCTTAACTTTTTCAACGCTCTGCGGCTAATATAACTGCGGGTGGCCCCTGAGTCTATAAGGGCCCCTACTCTACTCCTGAAAACTTCTACATCTACCAAGATTAGTTGTCCTTTACTCTCTTTCTTCATCTTGGCCCAGGCTGGCATCCTCTCCTTTAACTCTTCTGCCACACCTGTGAGGGATGTGCCTAAAGAGACGCTAACACAGGCAGCCTCTGGATAGCTAGCTAGGCACGGGCCTGCAACCTCTGCCATAGGCTCATGTGGGTTGGGAGTGTCCTGCTCGCGCGCACTCACTTCTCCACATGGCCTTAAAGTAGGGGCAGTTGCAACCCCTACTGGCGGCTGCCTTTTGACTGTTGGGCAGCCCAACGGGTCTGTCTATACTTTGGACAAAATTAATTACGTGGGCCGGGTCACCACAAAACACGCACTGACCCAGGTTCACGCGTTCCTGCCATACGCCCTGGTCCAAGCCCAAATCTTCCCAGGGCCTGCCCTGTGGTAAGCCTGGGTGCCATCCTCCTTGAGGTGCCCTTCCAACTCGTCGCTGTGGGGACCGATTAGAACCCTGGCGATTTGGCGGGGGACCTTGACCCCTACCTCCCACTTGGCGGTTTCCCTGTCCGCCAACCCCTTGTGCGCCCGGTCCTCGGCCTCCCATGGCCTGGCCCCTTTGGCCCTGGCCTCCTCCTCTACCTTGCGGCCTCCCTCCAGCCGCAACAGCAACATAAGACCTCCCCTGTCCCACGCTACTGTCCTCTTCCTCTAGGGCCCACTCAATCTGACTACATGGGACCTCATCAGTACCACCTTCCTCTAAAGTAAGGATCATGTGATCCTTGGCCCTCACCTGGCCTGAGATGGTACGGCCTTTCCACCTTTTTCCCTTGTCCAAATCCTTATGCCAGAAGGTGGTAACCGGCATGGATTTCGACTCATACAGGACCACTTCTGTACTCAATGTATCATAGGTGATGCCGGCCTGTTGAGACTTGTCAAAGAAATGCCCACGTATGGCCTCTGGCATGGCACGATAAAATAATTGGACCAACTGGGTCTCAGTGACCCCATGGTCTGGGACGGCTACCAAGTCGTCCATGGTACCCTTGAGTGCTCTTGCACTCCTCCACTGTCGCGAGTGGATCGTTTGTAGCTTATCAGAGGCGCGAACGGCTCTCGTTGGGTCTGCAAATTGCTCCTTCAGGAGCTTAAAGAATTGAGGAAGGGGGGTGACTCTTGAATATGCAACCAGGTTGTTTTCACAACCGGCTGTGCGCGCAAGGGACCTGGCAAAACTAGCCGCCTCATCCTTAAGGGCCTGGAAGGCCACAAGGACTTGTTCCTCTGACAGGATGTGCTGTAAATATATATAACTATTGACACTGGCCTCCCAGTTGTCAAAGTTCTCCTCCTTCTTCCCTCCATATGCATCTGGGAATTTAAGCTTGATTGGGTCCTTGCAAGGCCTGGCCTCGCCCTCTACAGCGGCTATCGCTTTGGCAACCTCGATAGTGCCCTCACAAAACTTCCCCACATTCTCTCTCAGTTTCTTGACTTCGCCCCCAATGTGGGTGACTATCTCGCGCGCAAAATCTCTAAACCCCGACCGCATAGCACTTAAGGCTACCTCTTGGCTCCAACTGGCATGGCGCTCCTCCATCCATGCTGTGCTCAACACCTCCAAGTACCCCAACACTTTATCCCATTTGGCCTTGTCATCTGGCTGGGCCTGTACTTCTTTCTTGCAATCTTGCACCTTCGCCACCTCTGCGGTCAGCTTGTTGACTTCCTCTCTCCTCCTCTTCTTCTCCCTCTTCATCTTCAGTTTCCACGCCAACTTCTGCTCCTCCTCCCTTTCTCGCCGTTCCATAGGGTCCTTCATTGTTGCTAGCTCACTAGCTAGCGCATCCCTCTCCTCCTGAGTCACATAAGACTCCGCCTCCTCGTTTTCTCCCAGAAATAAATTAGCGACCCACTCACTTATCTTCTTCTCCATCTCAGCGTCTGTATCCTTTGTCGTGTCGCTACTCCCCTCTCTACTCTCAATACGCATCCTCTCTTTCTCTTCTTCTGCTGCTGCTTCTTCTTCGGCAGCCTTTCTCCTCTCTTCCTCCTCCTGTTGAACTCTCTTCATCTCCTCCTCTAACTTCTTCATCTTTGCCGCCTGCTCTTCTGCGATCGCCTTTAACTTCTCCTGCTTCAAGAGCTCCTTCCTCTCCTTGTTCTCTTTCACTAAGGCGGCCATCTTTTCTTGCTGCTCCTTGGTGTAGGGGCTAGTGTCTATCCCACTACGGGTCTCAACCATGGTGATAGGTGCACAATCAGAACGATTCCACTCCTCACCACTTAGACTCTAACCCCTGACTGACAACCTATTGACTCAATCTAAGGACTCACAGAATCTTGACAAGGATCCTGTCAACTATGGTCTCTAGCCTAGACCTAACTATGGCTGTCACTACTAGACCTGTTGCTGATCAGGAGGCATTTAAGGAGATCCCCCGAACTCCTCAGGAATTATTTAATGTCGCAAACAGGACGACGCGATCAGTAGGTCTCTCAAGACTTAGACGGTCTGTTGTACAACCCACAGCTCGGATTTCAAGCCTACCGTGCCACACCGAGCAGCCCGCCGGTCAGTACTGATCCTTGGGAGGGTTTGACCTCTGAGACAGTCGAGTCGTCAGACACAGTCTTTAGCCCTACTCATCCTGTGTGGGTTTGGTCAACAAGACCCTATCCTTCATCCAGAGAGTACTATCACCTAGGACAGAAGAGACTCGATGCAGAAAGAATAGACAGACCGACTGGACTCAGCAAGTACCAAGGGGTGTGTGCACATCCATAGGGCGAGGGGTAGGTTGAAGGCTTGGCGAGATGTTATCGGCTCCAGCTTGGTCAAGGTCTTGGTCAACGCCGGTCAACGCTGCGGTCAACTCCAGGTCAACCCTCGGTCAACGCCGGTCAACTCCCTCGGTCAACCCTTCGGTCAACTATGGCTGCCGGCTCTTCTTCCTCGCCAACCCTCTCCTTCCCTTCACCTTCCTCGCCTCCTTTCACCCCGGCTGTCTTCTTCTTTTTTCTTTTTTTTTTGATTGGCCCTCACTTCACCTCTCGGCTATGGCCTCCTTCTCTCCCTTCTCAGTCTCTCCCCCTCTGTCCGGTCTCTCTCCCTCCTTCGTTACTCCGTGGTGACACTCCTCGGCTATGGCCGCTTCTTCTTCCTCCACGTGGGACTGCACAACTCGCTTCACAGGTATGTGACAACCAAACTTGTATCGCTCATCTCTCTCTCTCTCTCTCTCTCTCTCTCTCTCTCTCTCTCTCGATCTTCTTCTTCGTCGTGGTCTTCTCTGCAGGTGCGCGGCGGATTCTCCAACATCCGGTCCGCTATGGCGGACTACAGCCTTCGGCGGCCAACTCTGCTATGGCGCATCAGGCTCTACACACGACGGCGCACATGGAATAGCGGGTACCAGCTCTGATACCAATGCAATCAGACTCGTTCTCGTTCACACTTTTCATGCATGTAAACAACAGCACAGCAAACTGGCGACATGCGGCCACTCAAAACTCAAAGATATGGCTTCCAGATACGATATCACTTTCAATTGGCTATGGCGACTCCGCGCCCAAACAACTCACTGTTCACACGCACCGGATCACCCTGGATATCCCACACGCGTAACTCTGAACACTCACACATACACACACACACACACACACTTCACACTAACTACAGCTATGGCAGCTATGGCTGCCTCTACCCTATCGCTATACTAAGCTCCTTCTCTCTCGCCCACTGTGTCCTCCGGGCTCACTGCAGACGTCCTTGCACAAGTCGCTGTGACAACGCTTCCGCATGGCTCACGCAGGAATGAATGAAAGGCTGGGCGCTGCCTCTTGATTTATACTTCAGAAACTCGTTGGTCCGCCCTTTGCCATCGGCCCATGGTGCTCACAGTCCCCCGTGATACTTGCTGGACCGGACTGGGACTGACTGGACCTTACCACTTACTGACTGTCGACTCACCTACCGAAGTCGTACTGCAGTTGCATTGCAGTTTAGTCCACCACTTGACTCGCCACTTGACCACTTGCCCACTTGCC